CATGTGGCATGCCGACTGGAGATAAAATAAATTTACTCCAGTTACAGCCCTCAGCATGTGGCATGCCGACTGGAGATAAAATAAATTTACTCCAGACACGCACATGTGGATCAAAAGAGTATGATTTTAAGATAAAATAAATTATAAAATTAATTTTAAAACAATATACTGAAGTTTTAAAATTAATTTTTTAAAATAATATTAAAAAAAACACACACGCACACATCCAAATTTTCTCAAGACAAATTTACTTTTTAAATTAGTTGTGGGCCAAACCAGTTGCTCTGCTCTGCATTCTTGACCAGGATAGAAGCCTGCCATACCCATATATGAATATAAATCCTTCTCTCTCATCACCACAGTATCTCAAGTTCAATTTCCTTCTTTGTTTGATCTTTCCTAAACTTCCTTTGCCTTTTAGCCATGAGAGAAGCTGCGGTAGGGCAACTTTCACTTGTAGGTTAGCTAAAATTATTGACTTAGAGTGTTTGAATTAATTGTTTAAATATAATTAATAGTTAATAATTAATATTTGATAACTATCATAATTTTTTAATATTATGAGACTAGTGATTGGCCGTTGGATGGGCTGGTGTTAGCGGCAAAGAAAGCCTAATAGGAAATCAATAGCACCAAACAAGAGAAGAAGAAGATCCGGCTACTCGGCGAAGAAGAAGAAGCAGATCATGATGGAGAAAGGTCGGCTGTTGGGCGGAGAAGAAGAAGAACTCGCACGGAGAGAGGCCGGCTACTCGGCGAAGAAGAAGAAGTAGATCTTGCGTGGACAAAGGTCGGCTGCTCGGTGAAGAAGCAGAAGCAGTTCTTGTGTGGAGAAAGATCGGCTGCTCGGCGAAGAAGAAGAAGCAGATCTTGCATGGAGAAAGGTCGGCTGTTGGGTGTAAAAGAAGAAGAACTTGCATGGAAAGAGGCCGGCCGTTGGGCAGAGAAGTTGTAGGGATGGGGTGGGCTACTATTGGGCGAAGAAGAAGACCCTGCACAGAAAAGAAACAAACCAAAACTTCGACGGATTTTGCCCCCAAATCGTGGAGTGGGAAGGAAGAGGAGAGATGGGAGAAAAATGAGGAATGTGGGATTACAACATGGCACGTCCGAGAATACATTTCATTGTCTAGTTGGCATGCCACGTATTCATGGGTAACGGATTATAACTGACGTCATGTTAGACTTAACAGATAATTAGGATTCCATCCAATTGGGTCTTTATTTGAGACTTTGCATGAGTTTGAGACCTGGATTGAGTATAATAAACATTGAGGACCTCAATTGAGAATTTGATAAATGTTGGGGTCCTTTTCCAATACTTAAGCCAAACTTTAATGGAAGACGCCTTATCTTTTACAATTATTTGATTTAGGGGACACGTAAGAACCGGCGTGCCCAACTCCTTATATTTTTGGGTTAAAGCCAACTATAGTCCCTCTATTTTTAATTTTTATTCATGTCCATCCATCTACTAAGAATTTGTTCATTAAGAATTTGTTCATTAAGAATTTGTTCATTTTCATCTCTCTACTTTCCCAAAAAGCACTAGATGTCATCCCTGTACTCCCCTTATTTTGTCTATTGTCATCCTTTTATTGACGGCGTTGTTTTAGCCGTCTATTTGGACCGTTTAATCCACAAACGGTCAGTGGTAAACTGTTGAAGCATTTCTTGAAATTTTATTATTTCAAGTGTTGCCAGCTAGGAGAGAAGCAAGGGGGTTGGGTACTAGATAGTGAACAGGCATGTTGCTATTTTCAAATGAGATTTTGCTGAATCCAATACAAATGACGTTCTACGTGTTGTATCTTGCCTTTGAATTGCAATAAATAAGTCATAGACATAAAAATATTTTTGAATTATTTAACTTTTGCATGTTAAAAATTTATTTATT